AAGCAGTGAAAGAAGAAGCCTGGATTAGGAAATAACATGAATGGATGAATGGTATTGTAGTCTGATACTGAAATAACTATACAATTCCAAGGTTCACATTTTGTATTAATTTTTTATCTGGGCCAGGGGAAAGACAAGAAAAAATGAAACAGAGTTGGTTTGTTTGGGTCGGGGTTTTTTTTCCCCAATATTTTTTTTTCTTCCAACTCTCAGACAAGATTCAAAGAATTGCATTCAAAACTGTGAAAACTCCTTCATGTGCATGGTATAAAATACCAGATACAGAAAAGTAATTAGAGAACAACCAAACTATGGGGTGTTTTCTACCTTGGGTGTAGAAAAACGGCTCAAGACAGTCATGAACCAAGTAAAACCAGCCAGACCCACTAGAAGCTGCTGGCAGCAGGAAATTCCTACACAGCATCCACATAAACACTCCAAAGCAGTAAGTGCAGCCTAACTCCACTGCTCTACAGGGCAGTAGCTTTTCCTGGTGTGGAGATAAATTATCTATGTATGCAGCAACAGGAGCAGGGAAAGGAGGTATAACATGAAAGGGCAGTCACACCTTCAAATAATACACGAGGAAAACTGCATTAGACACACACAGCAGGCAAAGATGGTAAATGTCTAAAACACAAGCAAGTCAGGACAGAGCTACTGTATTATCCTGGTCTTACTGGGCTGCATTTTAATCATTTTTTTGTTTTCAGGTTTCTGTTCCAGACCACCATCTGACACTTGGTAGAAGGCCTATCTATATCTGCTAGACTGGCAAAATGTTGCTGCCCTTCTCAGTGTGGCAGAATAAACACATTGTCTCCCACTCTGCCTGTCTTTCCCATTTCTGCATCTTAGCCATACTCTCCAGAACAGGAACCACATGCAGTCTGTTCTCTCCAGCACATAGCATGATAGAACAGTGGGCATGACAGGAAAAATACATTATCAAAAAATATATTCTATGTGATGACAATGGCTGCACTGCAAATTTAAGCCATACGATGCCAAGGAATGTATGTTAATTATATTACAAAGTTAAAGAAAAAAGGCAATGCAAACTTAGTGGAAAAAATAAATCTTAATTATTTTGTTATTGCTGTTCTTGCCAGAATCCCTAGCATCCCACATAAGAAACCAATTCTAAACTAATTTTGAGCGGAAACTTTCTTCTATAAATGCAAAATACTGCCCAATAAGCAAGAGGGGGAAAAAAACCCAAATACTTTAAACCACAGGAATTCTTAGCGAAATGGATGAAAGGACAATTAATAAGCAACATCTTGAATTTTGTTTCTAATGTATTGATACACACACATAGCACAGCTACTTCATTTTAGATTCTGCAAGCCTCTCCTTTATACTCAGTACACCTTTAAAAAGAAAAATCATGCCCCTAACATTAAAAAAGTGATCAGTCATATAAACTCTACTTTTAACCCTTTAATCTGTTTAACCAAAATCACAAAAACAATTAAGAATGCTTTTCTTTACCACAGAAGAGTACTTTAATGATTATCAATTAATCATATAACCAACAACCAAAGCTAGAGGCAAAAGGGCTTTTTCCTCTAGTGTGCATGGCGAACACAGGCTATGCCTAAATGATTTTCCAGTTGTGCTCCAGATGCTGAGCTCACACTAACCTGCATCCACACAAAGAGCTGTTGTCCCACATTCTACTTTATATTTTTCACTGCTGAATGCACACATGCATGGGCACTTAACAGCAAAATGAACTGAAATAATACCAGGACAACACACAAAGGCTTTAGTGATTGTCAGCAGACACCTGCCTGATTCATCCCAGTCTCTTATATATAAAAAGCTTGCCTTAAGCCACTTTCAAGAAAGTATCTTACATGCACAAAATAAACACTGCAGCAGTGATTTAAGCTAACCTGCTTGACTTTGAGGACTGCTAATCCACTTCAGTACAGCAGGTAGAAGTGCACAGCTGAGAAGTGACACCACCTTAAACCATTTTTAGCTTTGACTTGCCACACAAGACTTTATAAAGAAACAGAGTTGAGACTCACTATTTTAATCCACTACTACAATTTCCTCCTTGAGTAAGGTGAAATCTGTACATATAAAAGTGTGCCTGACATGGGCATACAGAAAGCCTGCTGATATCATGTGGACTTGAAACTATCCCGATCACACCAAACTATAGTGTATGTAAAGAGTCACTTAGCAGCACAATAACTTCATTAACAAAAAAACAATCAAAAGCCACTGCTCAACAGAATACAATCACCAACACTAAGATCTTTTGTGGTTGTGGAAGAGTAAAATGCATGCAACTATTTCCTACAACCTGAAATACTGCAAGCATGCAGAGGTCTACCATATTTCAGTAGACACTATAGAAAAACTCACCTGTCTCTAGCTCCAGAGAACATTCTGTACCACTCTACCATCTTAATAACTAGGGGAAATGAAACCCCTACTCATTTATTTTATATATATATAAATACACACACACATTTAGCTTTTAAGTAACACCAGAAAAACTCTGTAGATATTTAAGTGAGGCACATTTATTCAAATTGATGTAACTCTTTGAGATGTCTTTCACAAAACAGTTCTTTTTCTCCCCACAGACTTCCGCCTTCAGAAAACAGACATTCACTGTAGATTATTTAAACTTGGAAAAATGCAAGTGTTTTCTTTGAAAAAAATATCTATTGTTACAGCAAAACCTTGGGTTTCCTTTCAAGCAAGATCATATGATTACGCGTTTATATTTTACTTTCCGCAGGAATTTACACACCCCCCATTTGCATCCTGTTATTCATTTAGCGTTTCCCTTCACTTCAGCATGCTGCGTTAATAAAGTGGAGCCTTGGCTCAGCCTGGGCACTCAAGGTGACAATCAGTGCTCCCTCCTACGTTTGTCAGATTTATTCTGCAGGGTTTTCCACATATATCCAACCACACAAAATGCTCTTTCAAAAAAAATCATTCTGAGAAGCACTGCACAGAGAGAGCATGAAAATCAAACCTGCGGCTTTCAGGGCTTTTTTGCTAATTCTGTTCTTGAAAGTACTAATTTTTCTTTTGGAAGGTGAATTTTACTGAAATAGATTCCATGTTATTTAAGACAACTAAAATAGTATAAAGACCTAATTTTCAGTCTTCTGTCTGTCAGTCACAAATTGGTTACTTTTGTTTATCTTCACTGAAGTCATCGATGCTAGTCTTTAAATACCTTCAGATGGAGACTGATACTAACCTGATTTGTAGTTCTGCAACACAAAGATCTGAAAAGAAGTAGCAAAAAGACTTTTTCTGCTAATAAAATCATTTAAGACAGCTTCTACTGAAGGTATCAATTCTTTTTTTCCCAGTAGAGAAATCATAGCCTTAAACTCTAAATCATAGCCTTAAGCTTTTTTCCAGGACTTTCAAGTGCAAACTAGAGGGAAAGAAGCAGGAAGAATAAAAATCAAACAGTGCCATTCCACAAGAAATTGAAATGAGAAATTAAGATTTACTATTATCACTCCCTCCCAAGTAAGACAAAAACTTGCAATTTTGCAATTATTTCAAAAAACATCATTAAAGCAACCACAACAAAACACATTTCAATGAGATGAGAACTTCTTCAATTCAGCAAGAGAACATAGACAAGTAAAATAATTTCTTTTACAGCAGTCTACCTGAGATAACCTCTTGCAAAGATTTTCATGAAACTGAGGTGCCAAGAGAACTTTCATTTGATGGGAGAAAATATTTGCATTTGAAAAAAGCACAGCTAGAAATATTTTGCCAGCTCTAGCTTTAGAAGTTCGACTTCATACTACGAATTGTCCTGAACAATCACAGAAATCAAGACACTTGGATATATTCTTCAAACAATAAAACAGAATATAAATTCATAAGCACTAATAAACTGAAGCCAGTTGACACAATAAATGAAAACTAATATTCTGTATTCCTGCAGGAAAACATGGAACTGTTTTAGACAAGTTTCTTGAATCCTTTCATCCATGTTTTGAAGGCTGAGATAATCTTAAACTGATGACGACCGAGTTTATTTTAATGTCAAATAAAAGTTGAAATTTATTATCAACTTCATTGCAATCAAGATTCTTTAGCTACAGCTGATCAATAAGATTTCATCTTCAATATAATAACTGTAAAGTCTCAGTGACTGATAAAAGAAAAGAACAATTAATTAAATACAAGCTCCTTGCTTCATTCCTGCAATGAATAGGATCAGACTACTCCTGCCTTTTAAGATACAGGCATGAAGCCAAGCAGTGCACCCCACCAGACAGAGCAGCTCAGGTAGTGAAGGAGAGAGAGGGACAGGACTCCCTGGCCAGCTCAGAGGTGACCAAGGACACACACTGCTGACTCCATGACTACTCTGAGCGCTGCTGTATTGCCCTGGCCATGACTGGAGTCAGTGCACACCTGCCCACATAACTGCAGAACCTTAGCTGTCGCTTTAATGCCTCATGTCGTGCATTAATCAGGGCTTGGACATGGGAAAGATTTTGTCTCTATCCTTTACCAGTCACCTTTGCAATAAACTGTAGGAAGGGGCACTATCAATTACTTTGTATCAAAGCAAAGTCATTTTTGATGAATCATTAAGCAAAATACAGCTGGATGGGAAGTCCTATGACATATTTTGAAACAGTAATAGTTTTACTAAGGCAATTTTCAGAGGGGGAAAAGAGAAATCTCTTGGGTATCTTTGACAGTCTGATGAAAAGGATTGAAGGACTCATTAAGGGCAATATTGCTTCCAAATGCAAAGCTTTGAATGACTGGTGACCTAAGTGAAACATAAGTAGTTACATTTGGTTTCAAGAAAGTGGAAAGCTTACTTTAAACAGTTACATTGTATATATTCATGCAACTGGAGGTTCCATTAAAATGCAGATAAATTTAACAGTTTTAAGCACTTAAACAGCTGAAATCAACATACAGTATAAACTGAATTTTACAAGCAGTTCAAACTCAAATAAATTCCCAATGCTTACCATCAAAAAAGCTTTTTGCTCTCAGGTAGCTGACGCTAAGCCTAAGCACAGAGAGCTTGTCCAGCTTGGCGATGACATCCTGCGGGAAGGGCAGCAGGCTCGCCAGGCGGTCCAGCTCCGCGTTCAGGCGGTCCCTGTGTCTCTTGGAGGGATTGGATTTGGCTCCTTCAGCTGGGGACGGCTTCACACTGCGGCAGAAAAACAAACGTGATGTAAACGCCAGCTCCTTTCCAAAATGAGGGCAAATATTTGCTGTGCCTAATGTTACACATTGTCTCAAACTGTAACAACCAAAATGTTTTCCCGAGCGACTTCGTTTCCCATTGGGAAAAAAAAAATAACTTAAAATGGCCTTATCCCCCCTCCAACACACACTTTGTTAAATGAAGCAGTTTGAGCTAAAATGTCTACTTGAACTTTTGAATGAACATTCAAAACCTTTTAGATTCAGCAATTTTTATAAAAATCTTCCTATGCTTTCAGTCACATATCACTTGAGTTCTCCCGAATGTCAAATTCCAAATATACCGATAACTTTCATTGGTATTTGTGTACAAATAAATTTGGCAGTACACTTTTTCACTTCAATAACAATTTCTCATGGATGTCCTTAATTTTTATCAGTGTGCAACAGACTAGTATTAATTGAATATAACAAAAGTTTTAGTAACTTCCTAGGCATCCAAAACTATCCTAAAAACCATGAGAAAAAGCTCAGCCAGCAGGTAAAATTTTTGCAGGAAACACTGTGAGCTCATCCCTTAAATCATCTCGCAGTTGAAGGCACTTCATTTGAGTACAGCACGGGAAAAGCACGCCTTTGTACAGTACAAAGAACAATTTAAAAATCTTTGTGTTATGAATTACATAATGAAGTTTTTGTAAACTTGCTATTTTCCACTCACATCCACTCTGAGCTCCAATTCCAGATACTTGGATAGTCACTCCTTCCCACATACCAGAAGTCTGGGAAAAGGTTTAAACCCCTGCTCATTTAAATGACAACTAGTCATTACAAGCCAATACTGAAAACAAATAATTTATCTGCCTAAGCCATAGTACATTCTATGTTCTTTATTAAACAGTCTTCTAATTAGAGAGTGAGTCATTGTCACTTTTCCAGTACTGCAGCTCTACGTGAGATCTACAGCAGTTATCAATTTGTGCTGCTCTCACAGAAATGTTGGTTCTGCAAGAGGCATCACTCAAAAATACTGAGCAGAAAGACATTCAGCAGCTAATTTCTTCAGTATTTCATTTAATCTGCTCCCAACTGTCATCCTTATATCAATTACATGATGAGCAATTGCAAAAGCTACAGTAGTTATTTTTGCCACTGCTGGAAGTAAACCTTACAGAAAAGTAATTTCATCTTGTATTTTCAATCAAATGAGTACTGATAGAGTGGACATTCTTACTTTTAGCTTGCTTTTACTTGATGTTTCAATTACACCTCCTGTTAGTTTAAATCCAAGCCCTTCTTTTTACAGCCTTGGCTTATTCAATTGTCACTTGTCAAAAACTTGCACTTCAGCCTGGCTGCCTGCTCCCCAGCACTACAACTGCCCTTTTTCCACATTAAAGGAGCCTTATGTGGAGCCTGGAAATGCAGAGACACCATAATGCAAAATGTTGATAACAGACAGAAATATAACATATCAGCAGAAATTACTTCCCAGATGGATAAAGTTAAACTTGTTGCAGAATCAATAGTGTAAATTAGTAGTGCTTTAGCCTAAAAACATTTGAAAAGTGGGCAAAACAGTTGAATCAAGAATTAGGAAAAATCTTCCTCTTTAAAAAAACCATAGGTTCATCATCAGTGTCAGTGGATGACTAACTACTTGGTTAAATGGGTGCTTCGGTCACAAATTATGACTTTGACACCAGCAGTTCAGCATATTCCCAAGTGAACATTAAATAATTTAGCAAGGTTTCCTTCATATTCTCTTATGCTGGTAGAAAATTAATTTGTACAAGCCATGTAATTAGCTAAACTTACATATAGCCCTAAAAAAAAAAAAGTTAAAAAATCATCAGACATTAGCAGCAACATTAAAGGGTATTTCTTAAATATTTTTATGTATTAGACTGTTTCTAAATGTAGAAACAAAATAACAAATTTCAAACATTAAGCATGTAACAGTTGTATAACAACCAGCAAACAGGTAATTACTATCAAATCAAAGTGGTTTGCTTCTGAAAACAGAGCACCTCATAGAAACCATTTAAGACATGCAAACTTTACAAAACATATCAGCACTAAGTAACAGGTTTTTCTATCTTAACAACTGTCCCCTGCTTTGCCTTAAACTTGCAAATTGACCAAGCAGCTAAAACTATGTTCAACTTGCAGTCATCTCATCAGATTGTCAGTTAGATGTGATTGTTTTTCTACTTTTCATTTACTTTCTAAAGATTTATCTTACTTTAATCTAGCTGAAAGCATTTCTGAATACTAAATTACCCATATTTGCATCATAAATCTTGCCATATTCTCTCCCCCAAATCAAACACCGATTATCCCTAATTTTCCCCTTTGTCACCCAACTAAAACTCATTATATAAAAATGGATCCTTCAGTGACAAAGGGAAGGGGGCAGAAATGCTGGGGGCATAAGCAGCAACTTAACCATTTTCCATTCATTTATATAAGCCCTTGATGCTAAAGGCAGCCCAGATTCAATGCAGAAAATTGTCTTCAAGGCAAATTACGTACTATGTCAAGATTAAATCCATGCATGTGCTTTATTTAAAAGAAAAAAGGAGAAGAAAAAGACTAAAAGAAGGAATGTATTTAAGCTGATCTTTCCATTCTTAATCTTCTACCTCTCATAGAAAATCTGTATTCTCTAACAAAGGCCAGAGGTCTCTGTACACTCCATGCCTCTGGACTTATCTACAACCCTTGTCACCCAAGAGCTGCAAGGCAAGCAAGAACACCTAATTTTTTGATTTAACAATTTTAATGCATTTCCATCACAACACCAGCTGACTGCTGTTTTCACAGGTCTGCTACAGCATAATTAATTAGAAGTTTTCACTACACATGCTCATCATGTGCACCTTCATAGGCATTAACCTCAAATGTTTAAAAAGTGCACAATTACCTTAGTCTTAATTATTATCAAAAGGCAAAATTAAGTTTCAATATTTACATGCTCATTTGTACTATTTTAGAGGGAAATTTTAGTAGTTTCTGAGAAAATGCAAAGAGAGAACAAGTTTTTGTTCATAACAACATAAAACACTGGGGGAAAAAAGTAAAAAAGCCAAACATTGAAAAGCATGATACCTTAATAACAAGACTGAAGTGTGAAATGAAATCAGAGAATAAATGAATGTGGAAAAAGAACACTACAGAGATGTTTTAAAAAATTAAATTTGTTAAAAAATCCTAATTATTAGTTCATTAGAACTATCTTATTCCTTAGGAAAGAGGGATATAAGGAAAAACATACAAGCCGCCTAACTAATAGATTTCATCTTCTCAGCTTTGAATATTTTTCATCTCATATTTAATAGTACATGCAATAACATATCTTTTTCCTATGCACAGGTTTTCACTCAGTGGAGGCCAGGTATATAAAATCAGTTATGAAACTAAGCAAGTAAGAGAATCCTAAAAAATACATCTTTATTTACTTTAGTGACTAAAAAATACTTCTAAGCATTTTGTTTTATTTCCCACACTGAATTTACAATTGATGAAAATTCATCTGATGGTTCCTTTGGAAACAACAGATAAGAATTACAGACTATCAACCTGTTAAAGTTATTGTCAACCAATCTTAAAAGAGCAGAGACCCTTTCCATGGCTCTTTAGCAGAGACTGAAACCAGTCAAGATTCAAACTGATGAAGGTATAAAGTTGTTTTATTAAAAAAAACCTCAGTGACATGCTACTCATCTGGTGCTGGGCTACTATTTTTCATCCAGTAGCAAATAGTTCAGGTTGGTTTGGTGCATTAAGGATTGAACCAGAGTGACAGAAACATCCAAAACACTAATCAAGGATGAAAGTCTGATGCTCAGTTTTAACATATTTCACAACTTTCTAAGATAACAAGCCAGCATTTATTGGGAAAAAAGAAACAAAAAAATATGTTCCTGCCTACTGACCGTGTTACTTATATATGTATACCTCCATTTGATGTAGACTCTCTTGCTAAAAAGCATTCTTTTGCAAGAAACATTAACCAAAACCAACCAATCAAAAAACCCCAAAAACCCTAAAACAAGAGACTTTTAACATGTAACACAGAGTTACCCCAAGACTGACAAATATATATATATAAGAAGTTTATTCTATGTAAGACAACAGTTTTACTACCTCCAATTCAAATAAGAGGTGCAGACTGCTTTGTGGCAGATTCTTCTTTACACAAAGCAACATTTCAATGATTATTTTTCTTTTCTGATGAACTTCCTTTTTGAAAGCTTATTCTGGCACTTTTTGTTTGTTTGCCTTGAATGAACACATAAATAGTTCCAATTTTTTTAATTAAAATGTGTTTTCTGCTTTCTAATACTAGAAAGATCAATTACTAAAGATCAATCAGTCACAACTCTGGAGTACTTAATGTCCCAAATACATTTAAGATAACAAAGAAGAAAACCCTATCATATTTTTTTAAAATTTGATCTACTAGATAAACAAATCATTATGCTTTTTGCCTCTGCATAGCATGAAACATTTAGAACTCCCCACCCCATTCCTTGTCTATTACATTCATCCAGTTATACAAAACAATTCTTATCCAAACACTGAAAAAAAGAAAAACAAACCAAATCAGAGCTAGTAAGCAAAAAGACATAAAAACTGCAAGCTGGAGCTGTACTTATATAATACCTTTCATCTCACATTAGACTCTATCTGCAGTAAACCCCACTTCCATAAAACTTGCCTTTTTTCCCTCCAACTACAATGCTACTATATTAGTTCACGTTTAATCACTAGACAAAAGAAGATGAAGACTTGGAAAAAAAGACAAAAACAGAAAGCAGGGGCCACGCATTGCCCCCACGCCTCAGTGGGGAGTGGAACATCCCCCAGCCCTGCTGCCACCAGGGGGACTCACAGGGTTTAAACCTTAAAGAGGGAGGAAATTGAAAGACTCCAAGGTATTGAGAAAGTGATTTCTGTAGCATATCACAAGCGATTGCAGTGCACGTGTTTAGCATCTTTTTCTTCTCTCCCCTTACATGACAAGATAACAAGATGAATTGCAGGAACAACTGCCTATTATGTTCCCCCACAACTGTGTTTCTTTTTCAGCTGCAGTACTGTAATTCCCAACTGAATCAAAAAAAGCACATTTCAACACTTGGCACAGTCAGACAACAGCCTGTGATTCCCTCTCAAATTCAGCTCTCTACAGGGCAATAGTAGAACCTGGGAGCTGAGTTGTAAGGAGGAAGTTTCTTAAATTGTTATAGAGTTATGACCATGGCTTTCATGAGTTATTTGTACCTGAAACAAGAACTATTTCTTCTGTTTAATTTTTTTCCCATGGCAACTGTAGCATAGTTAGACCTTCTTCCATTTCTATAAGCTGTCTACACAAACATCTTACTAATTATGCTCCATTAAGATGTACATATATGACAAATAAAACATTAGAACTATTAACAGATATAATTTCCTCTACAAAAGATATTAGTCCCAGTAAAGTATCACCTCTACCTTTTTCTGTTCTCTTCTCTTTTTTTCTTTTTTTTCTGAATAACTGAATTCTATTGAGGGGAGGAAAAATTGAATTCAAACAGATTAAAATGACAGTAGTGTCAAACCTTTATTGGCCAGCACCAAGTACATCTTTCTTCTCTTCTGCAATCAGTTAAAAAAGGTTTATCTGTCTCACTTTTTTTTTTGGCCTAAAGGAGTGGTCTGTATGTAGTTATTTGAGAAATCAGAGCCCTCTGACCCACTAGCAACATTCTCCAAGGCTGGCCCAACAGAAGCAGCAACCAAAGAGCATAAGGTATTTTGAGAGTAAAAAAACCACATGAACCTGATAAGTGTGTTAAAAGCAAGATAAATGTCTTACATAAAAATAATTTCCAGTAACCCAAGCAAGGTGGGTTAATAATTAGCCTCCGCTTCAATTGCAGGTGAACAAACTGTTTCAATATGAATGCGTTTATTTTGAGAAGAAAGTTCTCCCTCTGATCCTAAGGCCAATAGATAAATAGTTCCCATTAGTAATAAAGCTTCAAGTTCAACTAATCACAGCAGTTCAGCCAACTTACATAACAAGATACAGGGAAAAGGACTACTTACGTAGACACTACAGTAAGGTAAAACAAAAAGATTTTACATCCTCTATCCAAGGCTAACTAATATTTAATAATAAGGAGATCTTATTATTAAGATAGAACAAGGCAGAACAACTCACCATTCACAATCAGTACCACTTGCCTTTAGCTATTACTAAGCTACAAATGCCACCGGTACATTTCATTTCCTCATGAACAAACACTGATTTCATTCTTAAAAATCGAAAACAACAGTGTCAATTTAATTAGATACCTCTACATTTTTTATTTGGAAATGAACAGTCAAAAAAGCAGGCACTGGTGTTTTCATAATTAATGCATTTTCTAGCAGGGGAATTATATCCATAAATACACACATGTATATACACATATATACACATCCACACATTTTTAGGCTTTTTTTCCTAATTTGTGGGTAAAAACCCAAGCTACGTACATGCATTCATTCTAACAACTCCAAACATAAAGAAGCAAGCACTCAAGCTAATTCCCTTCACCCCGAGACTGAGTTGTCTGCTGTGAATCTAAAAACATATCATTCACAACACAATTTCATCAAATATTTTCCATTCTCTCCTTCTATGCTTTTGTAGCCTTTGCAGTTATTTTACACCTACAGAAGTAGCCCAGAAAATGCACTTGGATTTTTTGAGCTTTGCTTATTTTTCTTGCAACTCGGTAGTTTACCTTTGCTACTTTCTATGACCTAGAGATTCTTGACTTTCAGTTGAAAGTGCAAGTTAAGCATCTCTTCTAGCCTAAAAATTCCCCTCTCCCGAGAGCAACGTTTCAGTGAATCATATAAAACCTAGCATGCCAACCTAAAGCAGGTGCAGCAAACAAAATTACTCCGGCACTAAACTGTTCCCACAGTTTCAAAAATATAAATTAATAAACAAAAAGCCACTATATAGCCAGGGTGGGTTTTTTTAAACTTTTCCTTCTGGTGTACAGCACTTGGGTTTCTTTAACTCTGCACAAATAGGCGCATCTCACGCGGTACCGGAGGGTTCAAGAGGAGGGTTCAAGCCAGGGGTTCAGCCCTCCCAGGCAGGCCCTAAACCGGGGATGGGAACTGGCCAAGCCTTTCCCGACTCCGACCCGCGTTCCCCGCAGAGACACCTGAGCGGGCCGGGAGCGGTGCGGGGGGAGCGCGGCCCTCGCCCACGGCGGCACCGCGCGGAGCCGTCACCTCAGATGCCTCCCAATGTAGGTCAGCCGGCTGCGCCGCGCTGCCGGCACCGCTCCCTCCTTCCGCCGCCCCGACCCTCCGCGCCCCGGCACTCCCTTCTTCTTTTTTATCGGGGTGGGGGGAAAATCCCTAAAAGCAGTAAGAGTCCTGCCGGCACCCCGAAGCAGCAGCAGCAGCAGCGCTCCCGGCGCCCCTGCCCCGCACCGCCCCCGCCGGGCCCCGCGGCGCGGTGCGGGGCAGGACGGTGCGGCCGCGGGAAGCCCGGCGCTCGCTCTGCCCTCCTCGCCTCGCCCCTCGCCCGCCCGCGGCGCCGCTTACATTTTCTGCACAGGTTTCCGCCGCTTGCGACTGGCGTAGGTGACATTGGGGTTCATCCTGCCGCGGCTCTAGCGCCCCGCGCCGCGGGCGCCGCCGGCCGGGGGCCGCCGCCCCTGCTGCCCGCCTGGCCCCGGCTGCCGGGAGCGGGCGAGCCCCACCGGCGCCGCAGCCCTCGCCTCGCTCCGCCCGCGGGCCCCGCTCCTGCTGCCCGCGGCCACCCGGAGCTCGCTCGCTCGCTGTGGCGGCGGCGCCTTCCCCGGGCGGGCGAGGACGGGAGGCGGAGGCGCTGCGGGGCGGGTTCCCAGGTGATCGGCGGCGGCTACACCCACTCGCCGCCCCCGCAGGGCACAGGTATGGGGGCGGTCGGGGCTTTCCAGCGCCGCTCGCGCCGCGTCTCCCCGCCGAGGCGACGCCGTCTCCCCGTCGGCTCCTCTGCGGCGGTGGGAGGGTGCGCGGCGGGCTCTGCACCCCGGCGCGGCCGCCGTCTGCTGGCCGAGCGCCTGTCAGAGTGCGCGGCGCCGGGACCGCCCCGCAGCGCCCGGCCCGGCCCCGCGCCCGCGCCCGGCCGCGTCCCGCCCCGCCCCGCCCGCTGACAGCCGCCACCGCCCCCTCGCCGGGGAGGCCCCTCGCGGCGGCGGCGGGCGCAGGAGCAGGGGCGGCCGCGCCGCCATGTTGGGAAGGTCACGCCGGGAGAGGCAGGACCGGCCCGGCGGCGGCGGGAGCGCTCCGGGCTGGGCGCGGGGATGGGAGACGGAAAAACCCCGAGCCTCTGGTGGCCGGGGAGCGATGCGAGCGGGGCTCCCGCGGCCAGTGGGAGGGAAGGTCAGCTCCGAGCGGTCATGTAGCCCCGATAACAGAAAATAATCGGGGCAGGGAAGGGGAGGGAGGGAGAATCACAGCGTTAAGGTTGAAAGACAAATGACACCATCTCAGTGGCACCGTGATGTCCGTGTCTGTCACTCCACGTCCCCCGTTCCCTCCCTCTTCCCGCCTCCGCCGGACTGACGCCGTCACAGCCGCAGGTCGCCCCAGCAGAGAAGCCCAGAATAACAGGCGACCGCCCAAAATAGGGAGTTATTGGGGGAGAAGCGGAAAGGCACCGGGCTCCACCGAGGACAAGGACAGCAGGACACCTGGGGACAGAACGGGAACCACTGGGGGCAAGGTTGTCGCTCGCCAAGCACCGGGAGGACCGGCGCGTCTCGGTGATCGGGGACGCGGCTCATGTCCCATTAGGTGACGAATCTCTGAGACATTGCGCTGATATTTTCGGCTAAACATTAGTTTCAAATGAAACGAGCTGCATGGGAAAGTTACTGCCAAATTGCTGACGAGTAAAACTGTCCAAGGAGACCCCGGTGCTGGTCTGACCCGCCGTCGCTTCCCCCGCCCGTTCTCTCCCTCCGGTCCCTTTCGCCGCCGCTGCCTCAAGCATCGGAGCTCTTCCCTCCCCTGGAATAACCGCAATAAATTTTATCCCAGCGCTAAACTTGAGAGCCCCAGGAGTCTCCCTGTGTAAACACAGGTTGTTCGCGGTCAGGCTGAGATGACAGTCGGGAAGAGCACCCTTTTCTCCCTTGCCGAGGCACCCGCGCCCTGTGGGGACGGCCCTGCCCCGCCGCCGGAGCGGGACCGCAGCTCCCTGCTCGGCCCCGACCCCGGCCCCGCGGCGCGGTCCCGCAGCCGCCGCTCCGCTGGCGGGAGGCCGAGGCAGTGTCCGTGGTGCTGCTCTGGCTGCCCGTCCGCAGGGCCGGCCGGGCTGCCGGCATCGCTCCCCGGCGCGGGGCTCGCCCTTTCCTCCGCCGCTTACACGGAGAGGAGCCCCGCTTGCACGGTGTTTCTGCTGCGCCCTGCCCACGGAGGAGATAGCGGTGGTCCCGGTGTACGGCAAAAACCTGGGGCAGAGCGTGGCGCCCACCCCGCGGCCCGGCGACCTCCTCGGGGCGCTGCTGTCGGGCCCGCGGGTCCCTCCGGGCCGGGCCGGGCCCCGCGGGTCCCTCCGCGGGCGGCGGGCATTAGGCGCACTTGGTTATCAGTTAATTGCTCGGGTTTAGCTCCCTGCCATCCTGTGCCAGGGGCAAAGTGCACTGAAGCCACAACAGGCAGATAAAATTAATTTGACTAAACCTTAACGATGCTAGTGGGCATGTCAGATGCCAGGGATTTGTCAAATTATGTTTTGAAAAAAATAAGTCTTCAGAATACAACATTTTTGGAAAAATACAGAAAGAGGACCTTATGCCTTATGAGGTCAATGCCTTGCGGTCGCAGTCCGGCCAACTTTCTGACCTAACATTTTTGCAGAGGACGCTAACTTTTTGGTAGCTTCATTCCTCTGTCCCTTTCCTCTTCACTCTCATCTCTCTTCACAAGATCATACCAGCATCCTAGAAAAAAACAAGTGGATAATACTTTATATGTCTTACTACCTTCTATTTTCCAGCCCCTTTAGTCTTTTGATTTTAGAGCTGAAACTGAAATTCATGCACATTCTTCACTCCAAACATATTCACCTATGGAAGCACTCAGTTTCTTCCAGCCCAAACTTCCCAGTCCCTTTCAGTGCTCTTTTCAGCCTGAGCCTCTTCCTATTCACTGGTTTATTTCTCTGTCAACACAAGTGGGCTGTAATCACTCCATACAACATAAATTGCTGCTCTGCTTTCGTTCTTCTCTTCACTCACATTATCTTTGTGTTGAGTTACAGTCATTGTTCATGGCTCCTCTTCTTCTAATTTTTAATTATTTGCTTTCAGTCCTTTATTTATTCACTTTGAGATTGAACAAAGATTTCTTATTCTCCGCTGGCCTCAAGATCACAATGCTGGATCTCTTGTGCTACCTAAGTAGCAGAGAGACACTCATGCTGTCTCATATGCTACCTCCAAATCTCTGGGCATTACAAGAAGAAGGAAGTGGCCTCCCATGATGGGCTGTATCTCCCAATTCCCTTCTGAGGCCATGGGAATTGCATAGCACTAGCAGGATACTGTGGGTACTCTTAGCTCCCTAATTTGGAAATAGGGAATAAGGTAAATTCATGTTGCTAGGCAGAAGTTGCATCTTCTGTACATTTGCAGTCAAATCCACTGCCTATTGCTACAAATCCTCTCCAATAAAGGAGACAACTATTTAACAGCAAATATGAAATTTCAGATGTTCAGCACACAGAGAATTGCAGAATGCATGGAGAATGTCCTTATACATCCCTGGGGCCTTTTAGGCACTTAACACTTTTAAAAATTACTCACAACTTCTGCAAATCATTTATCATCTGATGTTCTTATTGTCTCTTTCCTTAATGCACCGTCTCATTTTCTTTTCTATTTCATAATTTGGGTACAGTAGAGATGTTGCCTCATATTGAGTGTAAAACAAGAAAAACTATACAACTGTGATTCAGCAGTCTTAGATACACTGCTTTATAGTGTATTATTTTTGTTGGACTTTTTATTATTTTTCTTTTTGAACTTGTATTTTGTCATGTTTAACAGCAGGTTTGGTCTTGCAAAGGATGACTATGGTTAATGTCATGTGGACAACTAAAAAAAGGTTTAATTCCTATGGAGATCACATTCATGCATATAGTACTCTCATTTCTTCTCGTTTTATCTTTAGGCTACTACCCAGGTGTTTTACTAGTTCTAAACCAAGGAACAAATTTTCCTGGAATAAATTCTCTCAAACAGCTAGTAATCACTTTTCTTCTCCTACTCAAAGCTAGCATTTTTGCCCTTATAGATATGACTTGTCATGCCAATCAGTGATGAGATTTTTAAGAGAAATATGTTTGTGCACATAGTGAGCTGTGCCTTTCCCCATCCCCAGCATGTGTGAGGCCCAGTATCCAGTAAACTTTGCAGCTATCATCCTCTGGAACTTCCAGAGCCCTCATTTGTCAGCAGTCACACCTGTTGCCCTAGCTCCAAAATAAGCTCTATCATTTTCTTCCACACCATTCCACATTCTGCCCCATTTCTGCATCTCCTGCCCTGAACAGTTCCCTCCTAAGCTCTGTCTCCTGGCCCCTCACTCATTTCATAGGGTAGGGGCAATTTGGAAGAGGGCACTTTTACTAAACAGACAGAAATTCCTGAGTGAGCTGGAGATTCACTGGGTCACTCTGAGACCAACAAAAATCTTGTCATTTGGGAGGAATTTATAAGAACTATAAACACTGCTTGTTATCTTAGGGTCATCTCTGACTCATTTCTAGCTTTTACCCTACTCTTTCTGTCCGTGGCCAAAATTTCACTTCCGTCAGCTTAATTCTGTGTGCTGACTTGTTCTGGCTGTTTGCAGTGTAAATAGCACAGAAGAAATCTAGTCCTGGTGTCTGTGATTTCTTCTCTCCTTCCCTGGAGACATGGAAAGAAGACTGGGATTTAAAATTGTGATTTATGCATCTCAGGTTTTGTTGATATACAGAACTGTTGCTGATTTAGCTGTTATTTTCTGTGTTCTGCTGAGAAGGAATATCTATGCCAACTCAGATAAGCCTTGTCCTACTCATTTCAGGGAAGTAATCATCTGTGGAAGTTGAATGAGGGTTAGTGAATTGCCTATCTATATAGGCAATGATTATTTGATGATTGGAAGGGACATACAAACCTATTACTGCAAGAAACAAGGATTGTTGTAGGAGATTCTACCCCACTTTTTAAAACTTTAGCAGAAGTAATTATATAGAGAACAAAGGAATTCAGTATTTGGACTAATATTACAAAAGCCTCACTTTCAGGTACTTATTGAACTGTCTACAGTTTTAATGAGAAAATGGGATTGACAATAAACTTCTCTCTCCCCCACCCTGCTATTTATATTTTTGTCAACATAAGACAGAAACACCACATTCTTATTTTTTGCTCCCATCCAGACCTTCCTCCCCACTCCCACTACCCTTGCAGGTGCTTCTGATGCGTTAGTGTTTAAAATCACACCCAGTTTCTATTGAATGTTTAATTTGGGGAGCATTTCCAGACGTTGAAGTGCCATATGAAGGATGAAAAATATGAAATATAATTATTTGGGAAAGGAGAATATAATCCTTACATAGAGATTCCTGCTGATAGGTCTTGGTTAACAATTAAAATAATTAAAATATTTAATTATTTTAAATTCATTGACTTGCACTAATCCAATGTAATCTATAATCTTAATTGTTCCAACAGAGCCCCAAAAATTATTGAGTAGATGAAAAACACATTTTAAGACTGTTTTCAAGATTTTTCAACTTGGAAAAAGTTTGGGAAATTAGTAGGAATCATCTTTAAGGCAGGATCATGATTCTACCCAGATCCTATGGTATGTAAACCAAAAAAGCATATTGCACTTCTTAGTACAGCGATAAA